CAAACGCAGAGTTTGCAGCTTTCACAAAGACCTACACAAAAGATCACTTTGACAACGAAATATGGATACCTGTGTAAATTTAGATGTGACGGAAGGTACAGGCAGCAAGGAAAGGAGGGGTTGGGTTGTTTGTCAGAGTCACTCATTTGTAGTTGAAGGTTTGGCAGTAAAGATTAAGAACTAAAACCTAGTCATTGTGGTTGTATATAAGCCGTCAGATGCAACTTCCCAATTCATGGAACATCTTTTGAAAATTGACTGCTGTCTGGAAAGCCTTCCAACCTCAGCCACAAATAACATAGTGCTAGTGATATAAGCTTAAGACATTTAAAAGGGAAAAATGCGGGAAATAATGTTATACTGGAGATAACCCCAGGAGGCAGCTGATATGAATATTCTTACTCACATGAACTATTGAATCTCTGCAACAAATTCACCTTAAGTCAGAAAATAGTGGAGCAACAAGATTGGAAAATACACATGACATTATTTTCACTAATAATGACGACGTGGTAAAAAATATAACAGTATCAACGACAATTAATTCGGATCACAACACAATCGAAATTCAGAGGTGTATGCACAGAGTTCCTGCCCAGCAAAATGACTTAAGTTATGAGGGGGCCTTCACCAATTCAACTTCATAAACAAGAACATCCAGTGGGATTAAATTAACCATATCCTTAACGAAACATGCTGGGAAGATACCTTATACAACACAGATCCGAATCAGTGCCTAGAAAGAATCAACTCTGTAACTCTTGAGGTATGCTCGAAGTACATATCCCTAAGGAAAATGAAGAGATGTAAACTAAAAAGAGAACGATGCTGTCTCTACAGGCTAAGGTGAAGAATCACAGAGTTTATCAAAGTGGCTAGTCTATCTGGAATATAAAAGAAGACCCGTGGTTCGATAAATAGACAATAGAGAACTTAAGTTATTGAATAATATAGGATCAAGGAAATCCAGAAAGAACTTAAAGCAATAAATGAAATCTAAAGAAATCCAAAAATACTTCTTTTCATATATCAGATCCAGGGCAAAATTCACATCAAGCATTGGGTCCATGCAATTACCAGTTAGGATTTACACCGATGACAACAAAGAAATGAGTGATATACTGAAATCTCAATATGATTTGGTGTTTAGTGACCTAGACTAAGGGTCGTCAATCTGAATAATTTTTTTTATGACTAACACTCAAAATTTTGTTAATATCTCCCGAATTTTATACATAACCTTAACACCGTACTCCGTGTTCACAAACTTCAAGAAACCCCTCTATGGAAAGGAAGCCTAGACACAGGGGTCATCCCACACTAACTAAAAACAACGGATGCATTCCCACTCCACAAAGGTGGGAGTAAAGCAATATCAAATAATTATAGATCAACAGCACTAACATTCCACATCATAAAAAATTTCAAAAGTTTTCTAAGAAGCAAGTTTGACAAATACATGGATACCCAACAACTGCAGAACCCAGGGCAGCCTGTGTTTCAAGCAGGCTCCTCCTTCCTGCCTCTCACAACTACTGGACGGACCACTTTGACATGGTCTTGGATGCATTGGAGGACAAAAAGAATGCAGATGTGGTATACACAGACTTCGTGAACTTCATGAAAGCTTTCAACATATGCGATCATAGTGCAATAACACACAAAATGCGTGAAAAAGAATTAACGGGAAGGGTGTGTAGATGGATCTTTAACTTTATAACCAATAGAACACAAAGAGTAATATAAAACGGTTAAGTCAGAGGCATGGTACTCGTTCCCATTCTTTTCGAAAAGAATGACAATACTGGAATTTGCATGAGAGTATCATCCACTGAGGACGCGGCAAATCTCCAAACAGATATAAACTAAATCTTCCAATGGGCCACGGAAAACAATATGTTTATTGATGACAAATTTCAATTACTCGAGTGAGGAAAACTTGAGGAAATAAGAGCTAGATTGGAGTATAAAACAAATTCTAACCACATAATAGAGTAGAAAACTAATATGAAAGTTGGTATCACTTTCATAGATCACAACAATGTCATTATCAAGCCTGCTAGGAATGTGGAAAAACACGAGTTTTCTGTGTAAACGAGTTGAGAGTGGTAGAGGCACATGAGCCTACACGAAGAGGCTTGTTATGTATTGCGACAATACCAGGCCTCTGCCCCAAACCTTGATTGTAAGACTAATTAGTTACAACCCATTAGTATGCTACATCCTAGCCTAAGATTGTAGTTTACACAGTTAATTTAGGCTAGGAATGTAAGTGTAAGTGACTAAGTACGGATATTGTTGCTCTCTATAGACCTATTATTTGGCACTTATTAACCATGCCTCGTGGGAGGCCTATAGCTGATAGTTTCTATGAGATTATCGCGCAAGAAGATAGCATAATAGAAATATGAGATCGATGCATAACTTTTAAGCTACGGTGAGAGTATTCGTTGCTAAACCTATTCGAGTGGCATGGACATCTGAAAGGCGTCGTGGCAAAGAATAACTCCATCCGATTTCAGAACAGGTAAGCTGTCATGTACTTCAGGTGGTACGATGTGCAAATATGTATTGTACAGGTATTTTTGTTGGCTTATATTGTAAGTCTAAGCAGCAGATTTAGAGCCCTTCTATATACTCGCCCAGAATATTCAGCCAGTACGCACCCTGTTAAGTACAGCCCGGTCATAAGAGATAGTTAACGCTGTTTAGAACTGAGACAGCTGGGATATAAGTGAGCTGGACTGACCTGTGATTAGTCTCAGTCAATGTAGAACCTCCCTACCCCCCTCGTTTTACGACAAGGACAATGATAGTTGGAATAAGCACCTTCAAAAAAGAGGGGATGTCAAACCAATGATGATCCTCCTTCAGTCACGAAGTTGTAGATCTGAATAATATACAGAGAACTTTCACTGTATGTAATAAGCGCAGCCAAGCACTTTAATTACTAGGAACGACTGAAGTTCCTTGACCTATACTCCACGGAGTGCAGGTGAATAAAGATACACAATTTACTCCTGAAAATTCCTAGTGGAACCAGTCCCAAATCTGTACACAGAAATCACTCCCTATGAAAGCAAAAGGCTAGGCAGGAGATAGAACATCTCCCAGTGAAAAACAGGAGTGCCATGAATAAAACACAATAAGGGCCAGGGGTCCAAGACTTCGACTGCCTCTCAGCATATATGAAGGGGATTGCTAATAAACCCCTGGCTGTCTTCAAGAAGGAGCTGGAGTGATACCTAAAGTCAGTACTTGATCAGACCGGCTGTGGTTCGTACAATGAATTGCTTGCGGCCTACAACAACAGTCTGGTTTAATAAAGACCACAAGGTGTGGTAATGAACCGGGCCATTGGGGTGTTGACCCAGGGGCACTATTATCAAGGACCATCGGCACTTTTATGAAGGACCAAGAACACTGTTATACAGGACCAGGGATATAATTATCAAGGACTAGGATCATTATTATCAAGGACCAGGATCATTATTATCAAGGACCAGGATCATTATTATCAATGACAAGGGGCACTATTATCTCATTCTCTCAGTAGCTATAATGTCACAAATGTTTCCCAAGAAGGAGCGGTAAGCCAAGAAGCAAAACATATCCAAATCATTCATTCAGATGCTGTACTGACAGAATTCTTTAGTAGAAAAAAATGGCGATTTAAAAAGAAAACACGCACATCACTCGGTAAGTAGCTATCTTATCAGAAGTGTATCCAAGCAAAGAAGGAAATACACTCACTGTCACTTACCCAGTTGATATCATGCCAGTAGTGTTTCTTATGAAGATAGTGTAAGCCAAAGAAAAAAAAAATTACCATCATTCAGCCAGTAGCTACTTTGTCAAAACTATTTCCTACTAAAGTAGGGTGAGCCATAAAAGGAAACACATTTACCATCACTCACTCAGTAGCAACATTGCCAGAAAATTTTCTTACCAAGGTAGAGAGAGCGGGATTAAAATGGAAACTCACGATCACTCAGTAGCTACTTTATCGTCAGTGTTTCTCACCCAGGTAAGGTGGGATAAGAAGGAAGATCATTATCCATTACTCGGTTAATATCGGCTTTGTCAGCAGTGTTTCTGACTAAGACAGAATCATCCCAAAATGGACCACATTAAGCCTCATCCTATCAATAGCTGACTTTCTAGTAGTAACTTCCCAAAAAAGGCAGGGTGTGAAAAAAAGGAAAGACATTCACCATCAGTCAGTCAGTAGCTTCCTTGTCCCCAGCGCTGCCCACAAAACTAAGGTGAACCTAAGTAGGAAATACAGGTCAACATTAGTTCATCTTGGTGAGAAAACACGAGAATACCTATGTGGAAACTCTTAGAGGGTTCTTTTGAACGACCCTTGCGGGTTTATCGCTGCCCTGTCAATATAATAATAATCATAATAGCCTCTTACTCCCCGGTTATTGTATGACCGTTACTCTTCCTGGGGAGGACGGGGTCTTGATAATGGTCAGAGGCTCTTGATCAGGGAAGTGGAAATACCATCCCATCCCTCGGAATAAATTTGATTACCTCTCCTCATTCCCAAGATGCTCTGTGATTATTACAGGTCTAACACTTTACATTAATAATAATAATAGTAAAAATAATAATAATAATAATAATAATAATAATAATAATAAAATAATAATAATAATAATGCTATAATAATAATGATATAATAATAAAATAATAATAATAATAATAAATAATAATAATAATAATAATAATAATAATAATAATAATAATAATAATGCTATAATAATAATTATTAATAATAATAATAATAATAATAATAATAATAATGCTAATAATAATAATAATAATAATAATAATAATGCTATAATTATTATAATTATAATAAATAATAATAATAATAATAATAATAATAATAATAATAATAATAATAATAATTTCCTACATTGTTTCCCTAGTTAAGTCTGTAATTTCATGGCAAATAAATATTTTTTATTTTTTTAATTTTTAAACTTTACCATTTCTCTTGTAGACGAGGCCAATCCAGGTGTTATATATGAGGTTATGTGATGCCTTCACGATGAGGTTAAGTTCTTCCTCTGAGTGTATCGACACCAAGTTGCCATACTCGCGTATGCATCTGAAAAATAACTGAACTATATACAAGTAGGTACTAAGTTCCTTTAGAAGAAATTATAATTTAGTATTTGGATAATTATTTACATAATTCAGAATAATCCCTGAAAAAAACAAAGACAAGCATTTTGACTTAATAATATTGCCACTTTTGTTCTTGGGTAATTCCCTAGGGGGATTACACCTGCAACAGTTTAATAGCTTCTAAAAATCTAGTTACTCTCACGTAACAGGTGTCAGGAGGAACTAAATGTCTATACATCTTAGCCAGTTTATAATGCCACTTACAACAGTTGACTAACTCTTAGGAATTTATTTACTACAAGGTAGCTTTGTAGTAGGTGTTAATAGACAATCTAAGGACGTGGCCAACAACAGTCGATTATCTCTTACTGATTTGCAGCAAAGTAAACAGGGAACACTAATGTTAGAAGACATGCCAATAAGTCTTGTGCCTGCCCAGGATCCAACCCATAACAGTCAACCATCACAGAGAACACGAATGCGTTCACTTAGGCACCATTACTGTAGACGTTTATCACTTGGGACTAGAAATACTTTAGGAATATGAGAGAACACACAGAAGGTTAAATTCAGGGAGCAGAGAGAGAGAGAGAGAGAGAGAGAGAGAGAGAGAGAGAGAGAGGAGAGAGAGAGAGAGAGAGAGAGAGAGAGAGAGAGAGAGAGAGAGAGAGAGAGATGCATTAGAAGCAGTGAACCGGGTAGTAATTATATTCACTTATAGTACTAGTATTAGTAATAGTAGTAGGAGCAATCATAGGAATTTATCAAGTGTCCGTATCACGTGGCAGTCCCTGGGAAACATGCTGTAAGATCACATATAAGTACAATGTTGATGTTTGAGATGAGTAGCGCTTCAAGGTACGGATTTCGCCTCAAATCCGTTTCGCTGTAAATCAGTTTAGCTTCTTTCTAATGCATGATATGTCTTTCAGTGTTTCAGTGTACGACACAAGTGTTACTGGTGTCATCTATGCTGCAGGCGTATCTGACTTCTTAAATTTTAGTGGAGGAGTTCCTCCCAGTCTTCGACACGCGAGTTTTGTCTCAGTGTCTTGAGGATGTTGTAGACTCCTGCTTCTTTAGATGGTGCATTGAGTGTGGACTTTTCTTGGTAAAGTTCCAAACCGAACTGGTGGCACAATTGGAGACTTCGATATTACTTTTGGCAAAGCCAATCAGTACATGGCATGACCCGAAATCCATGATTATATATGGCGGCTGGTGGTTAGTGAAGAACGTCCTGCGCCGCTCTGCGTTTGCACGCCTCGATAAAATAGAAGGGTAGACGAGAAAATGTCTATAAAACGTATTTATATTTTCCAAAGAATTTGAGGCCGGATATGCACAAAGTCCTCAGAAAGAAACTCATGACTGCCCTGAATTTGGTGTAGAGGCCATTGTTGGTAGGCGTCTAATTAATGTTGAAGAATAAGGTATGTTTACCGAGTGTTCTATAGAGGAGATAATCGAGGCTGTGAGTTCAAGTATAAATTTAATGGTTGGTTCCACGCTGTTTATATTCTGTAGGAGCACTTGCATGTTCAGATGTCAGGAATACAGTATTGCAATATTATTAACATATCGGGGCCATGTGATGGTATCCGATAATCGTTCATTTGTAAGGTTCTCCATAAATAGGCTACCATTACAACACTAAAAAGACTGCCTATGCCAATGCCCAATATTGAACAATTTATTTTCAACCTGGAATAAATTGAAGGTGAAAAAGTCTTCTGGGGAGAATTTTGATAGATGAATTAACAGGAATAGCGGTGAAAAGGGAAATGACATAAAACCATGCCATATGTTTGTGCCTCAAATTGATGTAGAAAATAGGAATCAACAAAATTTCGGAGTGCTTGATGAGGGCAATATTGAGGGCACGCACACGCGCACACACACACACACACACACACACACACACACACACACACAATTTTAGAACTAGTGGGCAGAGAAATTCGTACCCAAGGGCAACAGAAACAATGGGAAGACCAGAGTGAGCCCTTGGTTTACCCAAAGGTGTGGAAAGGCCAAAGCCTAGTGCGCTAGAGCATGGAAAAAAAGATAAAAGACAGTGGACCAAGATAACATTTCTCCATGGGTCCTGAGAGGGGTAGCGGAGGCACTGTGTCTGCAACTAAGAAGAGAGGTGGGACCTAGAAAGGAATGGGCTCATACACGTCAACCAGCATGGTTTCAAGAGTAGGAAACCCTGTGTCATAAACCTAATGGAGTTCTACGACATTGTAACAGGAGTAAGACAGGAGAGAGAAAGAGAGAGAGAGAGAGAGAGAGAGAGAGAGAGAGAGAGAGAGATGGACTGGCTGCATTTCCTTGGACTAAGATTTTCGACAAAGTTCTGCTTAAGAGATTAATTCAAAATCTAGAGGAGCAGGCAGGAATAGCAGGAAATGCATTGCAATGTCTCAGGGCATATCTGACAAGAAGGAAACAACATGTGGAAAATTAAATTTACCTATATGTAACTCATAAGATACATACCAGTAAATGGTAACAAAGATAATTATTCTTTATCAAGGTTACAGAGACAAGTAGGAATTTTAGGACACCTAGGTCACAAAAAATGACATCCTTCGATACCTACGATAATCTATCTATCCACAAGTCACTCTGGACCTATATTAATTTCAAATGAAATATACATCACCAGGAATTCTGGCAAAAACATTAATATAAATATGTGAACTGTATATTAAATTTAAAATGTGAATACATTTACATTGAAGGAGAATTTATAATAATAAGACTCGCCAATTAGTCTGGAGATTACGGTGTGTCATGCAAACCCCCTTGCCTAAATTTATGAAGAAAATACTGGCCAGAATTCCAACATAAATAGACAACTTAGCTGGGGTTCCAAAGCTGTCCTGTCCATCTGCTTAATGCTCATTTTATGCAGGACTGCAAATCCAACAATTTCGGGTCCTATTTGGAAAGTTTCAAACAATTTAACTTCTAGAGCGACGAAATTTATGCACATTTCATTAGCGTGCCTTTACCTCATTCAAAACAATGGCGTCTCTTCCCCAGCGATGCTCACCCATCGCTGGTTCTTTATTTATTTACAAATTAATTTTTATTACCTACAATATATTACACTAATTTACATAGAAAATACACTATTTTTGGAGACTATACAGTATTTTCCAAACAACAAGTAATGGTATGAGACGAGGTGTCAGAGTGGGTGCATGAGTCTAGCGGCGTTCCAAGATTGTCAGTCCTAAGTCCGGTGCTGTTTCTTGTATAAGCGAATGACATGACGGAAAAGATAGATTCAGAGATGTTTCTGTTTGCAGACGATGTGAAGTTAATGCGGAGAATTCAAGCTGACCAGAATCAGGTAAAACTTCAAAAATATCTGAACACGTTGCAAATCTAGTCCAACAAATGGTTCCTGAACTTAATCCCACTAGGTGTCAAGTCATGAAGCTTGGGGAAGGTCAAAGATAGCGGATGGAATAAACTCTCCTTGGTCAAAGGCTGTAAACCTCACTTAAGGAAAAATATCTTTGAGTCAGCAATTTATCGAGCACATCTCCTGAGGTGCACACCAACGAAATAATTGCTGTAGCATATAGACACAGGGTAAACATGAAGAATAGGGTTACGACATCTAAGCAAGGAGTCATTTACGACACTGTACACTGTATGTTAAGGCTCATATTGAAGAATGCAGCATCAGTATGGAACCCACACTTGGTCAAGCACATCATGAAACTAGCGAGAGTGCAAAGGTTAGTAACAAGAATAGTCCTGGTGCTTAGGGTTATGTCCTACGAGGAGAGGTTAAGGGAACTTAACCTGACGACACTGGAGGACATGATAACGACGTATAAAGTAATAAGAGGAATTGGCAAGTTGGACAGAGACAATGTTTCAGAGATGGGACACAGAAACAGGGGAGGGCTCACAGCTGGAAGCTGAGAACTCACATGAGTCAAAGGAAGTGGAACAAACTGGAAAGAGAAGTAGTAGAGAAGTAGAAAGAGAAGTAGCCTTATGAAGAGGTACGATAAAGCTCTTGGAGCAGGAAGAGAGTGGACATAGTAGCGACCAGCAAAGATTCGGGGCTAGGAGCTATGACTTGACCCCTGCAACCACATACAGGTGAGTACATATAGATGAGTACACACACACACACATACACAAAAAACATTAACACACAAATACACAGACACAGACAGACAGACAGACAGACAGACAGACAGACACACACACACAGTGGTGGAGACAGTGTAGTGGGTCACAAGCGCCAGGCTCCGAGAATCTTAGTGTTTTTAGGGCGTGTTTCAGCAGTTAGAAGCAACCAGTGTTAGTGACAACGTCAGTGAACAACCCTACAAGTGATAACCAATGTATTAGCAAAAATAAATAAAGTAAAGGCGAGAGAAAGCCTGAAATTATACAACAAAATTTCAAAGTGCCAGTTCGTTGAGGCCTAGTTGGCACCTGTTGCCACATTGTTACACATATACAAAGTACAAAGCGAGTGACTAAAGAGAAAAGACCAAATAGAATTAAGAGAGGGTGGCTAACGACATAATGTGATGTAGCACACAGCGTGAACAAGCTAGCCAGAAAGGGGATATATATATATACATACATATACATAAATATATATAAGCAGAGGTGGTGGCAGCAGTAGGCCTGAGGGAGTAGCGCCGCCATAACAGGTTGGGTGTCATCACAAATAAGTAGTGTACTTACCAAAAGTGAAGTGTAAATTATAAAAGTAGCAGTATACAAGTGATAAGTGTGGTAAATGAGGACTCAAAAGGGCAACGAGAAAAGAATAGCCGAAGAAGTCAGCGGCGGAAGGGCGAGGTGTACGAGTCATCGTACAGCGAGCATCGTACAGCGAGCATCGTACATCAGGCATCTGGATGGACGTCCCCTCTGAGGAGTAACGTACAAATCACTGGTTTGTGGTTGGCGGGAAGTCTGAGTGGTAGA